ACAAACATTTGGAAACCCCCTCCTACAAAGAGTTTCCCAATCTGGTCAGTTCTACTCTCCTAGACTTGTTTGCTTTCTGTGCTAACCACGTGCAGCCCTTCTATTTTCCAGATGTGCCACACCCCGCTTGTTTCCAGGGTGCGTAGCTTTATGTGGGCTCTGCGCTCCTGCTGGGCTGTGCCTCTTCTGCTTTGCCTATTGTTTTCTCTCTTTTTTTAATTCTTTAAATCCTATGTTAGGAGTTGCTCACATTCATTCATCTAACATATTTAAGAGCACTTCCTGTGCCCCCAGCACTGTTCAAGGTGCTGGGGCTACGGCCATACATTAGATAACATCCTTGCTCTTTGGTATGGGGACACATGCTAAAAAAGATAAATAGAAATGGATAAAGGCTATGAAAAAATTAAATGGAGGTGTGCAAGGGTGATAAGAGAAACTTCCGAAGACCTGCTATTTTACCCACGCCTTGAATGATGAAACAGAGGTAGTAGCTCTATGAAGTGAGGAAAATGTTGTTGGCAGAGGGAACAGCAAATCTGCAGGCCTTGGTTACAAAGAAGATGGTAGGACTGTGGTGAACAAGATCCACCACTGTCTGTCACTCTGTTGTGTTTTAGTGGCTTGTGTGCCGCTGTGATGCTGAAAGCTTTGTCTCTGGCATTGCAAATGCCAGCAGGGTCACCCCAAGTGAACAGGGGTCAGCAGAGATTCCAGACTAAACACAAACTACAAAGAAGGAATAGGCTGTCCACTTCAAAGGAGCGAGCCACTGAAGCTCTATGGGCAGCACCGAACACTGCCAGTCATGAACACGCAGTGAACAGCGAGAGAGTACTGTCAAGTAATGCCGGAAGGTGAGCCTCTCAGGTTAGAAAACTCTCGAAGTGTGCCTGAGGAAGAGCTCCTTTCTCAAAGCAGGATACACGACTCAAAATGAGAAGTAACAGCTGCAAAAATCAGTTAAATTGGGAACTTGGACTGTATGATGTATGAATCTAGGAAAATTGGAAGTTGTTAAAAATGAAATGAAGATATAAAGATCGATATTCTAGGCATTAGTGAGTTGCAGTGGAATGGTATTGGCCATTTTGAATCAGAAAATCGTATGTTTTACTTAGCCGGAATGAACAGTCAAGAGGAGTGGGGTTACATTCCTCATCAAGAGGGGCATTTCAAGATCTGTCTTGAAGTCCAGTGCTGCCTGTGATAGGATAATGTCTATCTGCTTATAAGGAAATCCAATCAATACAACTGTTAGTCAGATTTGTACACCAAACACTAAAACTAGTGATAAAGAAATTGAAGAATTCTACCAACAGCTTCAGTCTGAAATTGATTAACCATGCAATCAAGATGCATTGGTAATTATTGGCAATTGGAATTCAAAAGTTGAAAACAGGAAGGAACAGTAGTTGGAAAATATTGTCTTGGTGATAGAAATGAAGCTGGAGATCACATGATAGAATTTTGAAAGACCAATGACTTCTTCATTGCAAATAGCTTTTGTCAAAATGTGCTGTGGACTTCTCCAGTTGGAGTAAACAGAAGTCAAATTGATTACCTCAGTGGGAAGAGATGTAGGAGAAGCTCAGTATCAGCATCTAAAACCAGGCCAGGGGCTGACTGTGGAACAGACCATCAATTGCTCATATGTAAGTTCAGGTTGAGGTTTAAGAAAATGAAAACAAGTCCACAAGAGCCAAAATATGACCTTGGGTATATCCTACTCAATTTTCATGGACACCGTCAGAACACATTTGCTGCATTAAACACTAATGACAGAAGACCTGACGAGCTGTGGGAGGACACGAAGAACACTATACATGGACAAGCACAAGGTCATTTAAAAGACAGGGAAGAAAGAAAAGATTCAGCGAAATGTCAGAAGAGGCTCTGAAACTTGCTGTTAGAATAGCTGAGGCATATTGGAAAGTGATGAAGACCAAAGGCTGAACAGAAATGTCCAAGGGCAGCTAGAGGAGACACAGTATTATAATGAAATGTGCAAAGACCTAGAATTAGAAAATCAAAAGGAAGAACATGCTCAACATATCTTAAACTGAAAGAACTGAAGAAAAAAAATCAAGCCTAGAGTTTCAAGATTGCAAGAGTCTATGGGAAAAATATTGAATGATGGAGGGAGCATCAAAAGAAGATAGAAAGTATGCACAGACACTGTGCCAAAAAGCACTAGTTGACATTCAACCATTTCAGGAGGTATCAAATGAGCAAGAATCAATCAGTGGTACTGAAGGAAGAAGTTTAAGCTTCACTGAAAGCATAAGCCAAAAACAAGACTCCAGGAATTGATGGAACACCAATTAAAATGTTTCAACATCATGGTGAAGCACTGGAAGCACTCACTTGTCTATGTCAGGAATTTGGAAGATAGCAACTTGGCCAACTGGAAGAGATCCATATTCGTACCCATTCCAAAGAAAGATGACCCAAGAGAATGCTGCCATTATAGAACAATATGATTGCTAACACACTGCAAATAGAATTTTGCTGAAGATAATCCAACAATGATTGCAGCAGTATATTGACAGGTTGCTGCCAGAGGTTCAAGCCAGGTTTAGAAGAGGATGTGGAACAAGGGATATCTTTGCTGATGTCAGGTGGATCTTGGCTTAAAGCAGAGAGATCAGAAAGATGTTTACTTGTGTTTTATTGACTATGCAAAGGTACTCAACTGATACCTAAGAAGAATTGGAATTCCAGAACACTTAATTGTTCTCATGAGGAAACTATTCACGGATCAACAAATAGTTGTTTAAAATCAGGAAAGATGTGCATCAAGGTATCCTCTCATCATACTTATTCAATCTGTATGCTGAACAAATATCAGAGAAGCTGGATTATATGAGGAAAAATGTGGCATCAAGGTTGGAGGAAGGCTTATTAACGCCCTTGATATGCAAATGAACACCTTCCTTGCTGAGAGTGAGGAGGACTTGAAACAATTACTGATGAAAATCAAGGATTGCAGCTTTTATGTGGTATGGATTGCAAACTCAATGCAAAGAAAACCCAAATCCTCACAATTGGACCTTTAGGGGGGAACATCACGGTAAGTGGAGAACAGATTGAAGTTGTCCAGGGCTTCATCTTGCTTGGATCCACAATCACTGTTCATGAAAGCAGCAGTCAAACGTGGTATTGCGTTAGGTAAATCTGCTGCACAGGACCTCTTGAAAGTGTTGAAAAGCAAGGACTAAGGTGCACCTGACCAAGCCTGATATTTTCAGTTGTCTGATAGGTAAAAATTGGACATTGAATAAGGAAGACTGAAGGAAGATTGATGCATTTGAACTACGGTGTTGGCAAAGAATTTTGAAAGTCCAATGGACTAGCAGAAGAACAAGTAGATGTGCTTGGAAGAAGTGCAGCTAGAATATTCATGAGGCAAGCATGGCAAGACTTGGTCTCATATAATTTGGACATGCTATCAGAAGGGACCAGTCCCTGGAGCGGGACATCTCGGTAAAGTGGAGGGGCAGTGAAAAAAGAGAGTGGCTCTTGACACGATGGGTTAACGCAGTGGCTGCAACAGTGAACTCTGGCATACGAACAGTTTTGAGGATGGCACAGGACCAGGACCGATCATGTGCAGAAGTTAGATGCCATACTGCCCATCTTTATTAGATGAGATGAGCATTTGTGGATTTTGATAGCTCCAGAGATGGGGTGATTCTGAAACCAATCCCCCCCAGACAGCAAGGGATGAAATGTGATCAATTTAAACAAAATTGTGTGATACTAGATTTAAGCAATGTATAGATTTAAACAAAGTTATATTCACTAATTTTCCTTTTCTCTCTTTTTAGACAAAAACAAACCAGTGCTTTGCATTTACAAAGGCTCCCGTCTCAACAGCTTGCTTAAGGTTTATTATATGACTTAGGATTTTGTCTATAGCATGTTGAATATTCCCTGTGCATTTGAAAGGAAGTTGTATTCTACTATGGCTGGTTAGGGTGTTCTGTAGATGTCAATTAGATCTAGTTGGTGGATAATATTATTCAGTTCTTGTCTAGCCCTGCTGATTTTCTGTCTAGTTGCTCTATTGATTACTGAGAGGACTGTTGAAAACTATGACTATAATTGTGAATTTATCTCTTTCCTCTTCAGTTCTATCAGTTTTTCTTCCTGAATTATACAGTTCTGTTGTTTGTGCATATACATGTAGGATTGTTAGGTCTTCTTGGTGAGTTTACTATTACTATGTTTTATCCCTTATAATTCTTTTTGTTCTTTATTTAATATGATATGGAACAAAGTTAGTATTAATATAGCTACTCTACTTTTCTTTAATTAGTGTTTGCGCACTCTACCCTTTTTTATTTTTTTTAACTCTTAATCCTGCCTATATTTGAAAAGAGTTTCTTGTCACTGAGTATAATTGGGTTCCTGCTTAAACAAAACAACTCATTCTACTAATTTCCATCTATTGATAGGTGTGTCTAGACTACTTACACTTGATAAATGTATTGATGTGTTTGGATTTAGGGTTGCAAGTTGGAACTAACTCAGCGACACCCAACAATTTCTTTTCTGTTTGTTTACTCTTTTTGTTCTTGTTTCCACTTTTCTGTTTGTTTACTCTTTTTGTTCTTGTTTCCACTTTTCTGTTTGTTTACTCTTTTTATTCTTGTTTCCACTTTCCTGTTTGAGTCGGAATTGACCAGATGGTAGTGAGTTTGGATGTGTGTGTTATTTGAACATTTGTTTATATTCTATTTCTTTATTGTGGTTTTTACTACATCACTTTCTGTAGTTTTATGGCCTCTGTTGTCCCCCTGTGGATGCTCGCAGAGTCACTGCCATTGAATCCATTCTGGCTTGTAGCCACTCTGTAGTGGTGGCTCTAGGCATTACAATATATGCTTTTCACAGTCTAGCTAGAAAATTAGTACTTAATACTTTAAGTGACACCTTGAAACCTTATCCTTTCCTCTTTATATTATAGTTAGTTGCTTTTTATATTTTATCTGCAGTTCCCGGGTGACCAAATGGCTAAGACTTCAGATCTGGCCAAAAGATTCGAGGTACAAATGTCCTGGTGATCTCTTCCAAAAGAGCACGGCCACCGAAAAGCTCTCCTCTGCCACCGAGGATTTGCCATGACTCAGGATCGACTCAATAGCAGCTGATTTTCTTCCAGGATATGCAAGGGGTTACCCCCAAAACTGATGCTCTTCTGTTTTGATGTGAGCGGGATAGTGCATTTGGAGTTCGGTTCATTCCACCAGGTCAGACTGTTAATCAAGCTTTCTATTTAGAGGTTCTGAAAAGATTATGTGTGTAACAGTGTGCAACAAAAAAGGCCTGATTTGTGGCAGACTGGTTTTGCCACCACCACAATGCACCTGCTTACACAGACATCTCAGTGTGCCAGTTTTTGGCAAAAAACATCATGCCTCTCTTGCCCCACACACCCTACTCACCTGACCTCACTCCGTGCGACTTCTGAATTAAGAGGGACATAGAAGGACGGAGATTTGATGACAGAGAAGAGGTGAAGAAAAAAACGAGGGAGGTGCTGCTGTCAGCCATCCAAACAGATGAATTTGAAAAATGTTTCCAAGACTTGACAAATGTATTAAGTGTTATGGAGAGTACTTTGAAGGTGAAAAGGTTGATTTGTAAAATACTTTACATAAGGTGCATGGCTTTGAGGGTGGTGGGATGGTTTCTGGGTTTTGTTGGGTACCCCTCGTATATTGTCTACATGTATTGAAACTCCTGCCAGACAGTGTTATCATTTCTGCTTCTAACATTCAAATACTTTGAAGATCTCAAAAGGAGAATAGCTATGATATAAAAGAGGTATTTATCGTTTATGTTGCTCTTCATTCTTGCTGTTCCAAGTTTCCTTCGGATATAATTTCTCTTCTGCTTGGAGAACTTCCTTTCGCTGTTCTCTTAGAGAAGATCTTCTGATTGATTTTCTTGGAATTCCTTCAGTTGAGAATGTCTTTTTGTTGCCTTTTCCTGAAGAATGCTTTTGCTGGACTGGAAGTCTAGATTGGTGGTGCTTTTCTTTTAGTACTTAAAACATGTTTTACTTCCTTCTGGCTTCCATAGTTTCTCATGAGAAATTCAGTCATTTGGATTGTTCCTCTGTAGTTGATGCATCGTTTTGATCTAGCTACTACCAAGATTTCTACTTTGTCTTCATTTTGTGCAAGGATCGTTGGTGGTTTAGAGGGCTAAGCATTGTGCTGCTGACAGTAGGGTTGGCAGTTCAGACCCACCAATTGCTCCTTGGGAGAACTACGAGGCTATCTGCTCCCATAAACGTTCAGGCTTGGAAACTCACTGGGGCAGTTCTGCTCTGTCTTAGAGGGTCGCATTCAGTCAGAATGGACTTGGTTTTGAAATGGATTTGATTTGGGTTTAGTTTTGCACAGTTGGATTGATGTGTCTGAGCATTGATTTCTTTGGAGTTAGCATGTTTAGAATAAATCCATAGGTTTGTGTCTTGCTACGTTTGGGGAATTTTCAGCCATTGTTTCATTTCACCCCCCCCCATAATACTGTGCTATTTCTTCTTCTTTCTAGTAGTCTTATGACCTGAATGTTCAACCTTTGCTATTTCTTTATAGAGCCTCGAAGCTCTGTTTATTTATTTATTTTAGCCCTATTTGTTCAGATTCGATAGTTTCTACTGAGCTCTCTTCAGGATGACTGCTGCTTTGCTGTTTTGCCTCTTGAGCCTCCCCCGTGCTGTTGTATTTTTCTACTGTTCTAGCTTTTCTACCTGATTCTTTCCTCTGCCTTCTGCTTCTTTGTTGAGACTTTCTGTTTTCCATTAGTGTCAAGGGTAGTCATGATTGCCTTCATAGAATTTTCATAATGTTGTTGTGGTTACTCTTCTGTGCTGTCAAGTTTTCCTGACCCAATAACCAAAAACTAGATCCACTGCCATTGAGTTGATTCTGACTCATAGCAAACCCATAGGGCAGAATAGAACTGTTACACAGGCTTTCTAAGATTGTAAATCCTTATGGGAGCAGACAGCCTCATCTTTCTCGTTTGGAGCAGCTGGTGGGTTTGAACTACTGACCTTATGGTTAGTGGCCCAGTGCCATTGCAGCATATTGACATTGGGGTCAATTGATTGTCTTTTCCAAGTTCGGGTTTTCCTGGTTCTTTGTATGCTAAGTAAATCAGGCTGTATCCTGGAGAATTTGATTATTATGACACTGTGGGACTTGTTTACATCCTGTGGGGAATAGAAGGAGCCTTGGTGCTGGCACAGAACTAGCCTCCTAACCTAAGGTTTGAACTCATCAGCCACTCCACTGGAGAACAACGTGGCAGCTACTTCCATAAAGATTGCAGCCGTGAAAATCCTATAGGACAGTTCTATTCTATCCTGCAAGTCGATGTGGTTTGGAATTGACTCAACAGCAGTGAGGTGGGGTGGGAAATGGTGATATTTTTGGTGTGGCAGGCTATTGACGTAATGTCCAGGTTCAAGTGTCATACAATCTCTAAAGCCTTCCCAGAGCTGTGGACCAGTCTCGTGTGTGTGCCACTCAGTGGCTAGTCTGAGATATGGGTATTGGTCTCTTTCATCAGTTCAGTTGTCAAGATAGTAAGTGTGGTGATGAGTAACAGACCCACGCGTACAGCTTAGGGACAGACAGGCCTGGAATTCACGAACCTCTGAGGGCTGGGGAGCGCCACTTTCTTGAACAGCTCCCTCTCTCTGGTCTCCTCAGTGCTTATTATAACTCCCTTCCCTGGCAGTAGCCTCTTAGCAGTTTCCATTAACTACCACGGATCTGTGTGGCTTGTGATTCATCTTTGATTTTCAAGTTCATCTGGGCTCAACATTTGGAGGCTTTAAAATGAGTGCTGTCTAGTAGCTGTCCAGGAAGTGTTTTTTGAATGAATGCAAGTTGAATGTGATTCTTACTCACTGTGCCATTTTAGGGTTCATCTGTTGGACATACCCACCAAGTAAAGATGCTTAGAAGTTAGTCCCGGGAAGCCAGACCTGTTTCCAGACTGGAAATCGGAATGAAGAGCTTGGGAGCTCCCAGGTTCAGGTGATAAAGAGGGAAGTCCGTTGGATGTGTGTGCACTCCTGTTTCGGTAAATGATGTTCTAATTGTTTTGCCTTCTGTTCTGTGCAGCGATGTGATCATGGATCACCATGCTTCCACCATCAAACCTCGGAGAATCCAAAACCAAAATGTCATTCACCGCCTGGAACGCCGACGGATCAGCTCAGGCAGGGCAGGCGCCCACTGGCACCAGGTCCGGGTGCTCCACCAGAATGTCTTCCCTAACTTTACGGTGGTCAATGTGGAGAAGCCGCCCTGCTTCCTGCGAAAATTTTCACCTGATGGGCGCTTCTTCATTGCTTTTTCTTCCGACCAGACCTCTCTGGAAATCTATGAGTACCAGGGCTGCCAGGCGGCCGAGGACCTACTCCAGGGCTATGAAGGGGAGATCCTGTCCAATGGCAATGACCAGCGGTCAGTCAATATCCGGGGCCGGCTCTTTGAACGCTTTTTTGTCCTGCTGCACATTACCAACGTGGCAGCCAACGGCGAGCACCTGAACCGGGAGTGCAGCCTCTTCACAGACGACTGCCGCTGTGTCATTGTGGGCTCTGCTGCCTACCTCCCAGACGAGCCACACCCACCTTTCTACGAGGTCTACCGGAACAGCGAATCCGTGACTCCCAACCCGCGGTCCCCTCTGGAGGACTACTCCCTCCACATCATTGACCTGCACACGGGCCGTTTGTGTGACACTCGCACATTCAAGTGTGATAAGGTGGTCCTGTCACACAACCAGGGGCTGTACTTGTACAAGAACATCCTGGCCATCCTGTCGGTGCAGCAGCAGACCATTCACGTCTTCCAGGTGACCCCCGAGGGCACATTCATTGATGTGCGGACCATCGGCCGCTTCTGCTACGAGGATGACCTCCTCACGGTGTCTGCTGTGTTCCCCGAGGTGCAGCGGGACAGGCAGACGGGCATGGCCAATCCCTTCAGGGACCCTTTCATCAACTCCCTGAAGCACCGGCTGCTGGTGTACTTGTGGCGCCGGGCAGAACAGGATGGGAGTGCGATGGCCAAGAGGCGATTCTTCCAGTATTTTGACCAACTCCGGCAGCTGCGCATGTGGAAAATGCAGCTTTTGGATGAAAACCACCTGTTTATCAAGTATACCAGTGAGGACGTTGTAACCCTGCGGGTCACAGACCCGTCACAGGTAGGAGGGCGCTCTTCGGTCCTTCCTCCCGCTAGTCTCAGACAAAATGGGAAGTCCTCTTCTCTGTCTAGGGCCAGTCCCCTAGAAAGACACATTTTCGGTAGTTTTGAGTTTTCGCTCCTTCAGTCTTGGAAGCGCAGAGGGGCAGTTCTGCTGGGCCTGTAGGGTCACCAGAAGCCGGCAAGGACTGATGGCAGTTAGTTGAGTTGAATTGAGGAGACTCAGTTAAGTTTAAAGTCAGCTCTGTTTTTCTGTGGTCCTGTGTACGTTTGGGCAAATGGGAGCTAACTCTTAAACTGTTGCCCTTATTTGAGTAGGGAGGGGTGCCAGATCACTTTATTGAAAGCAGAGGGTCTCAGTCTTGCTTGGTCTGTCAACCCCTTGCAGTAAAAAGGTTAAGAAAAAGGTACCCCTCTGGCAATGAACAGCATTGGTACAGTAGCCCATCATCCAGGACAAAGTGTCTGCTTTATCATTCCAGCGCCGCCACCCCTCCCCTCCCTGAAAGGGGCAGTATTGCCCACTTTGGGAAACACCGATTTAAAGCAGTGGTACAAATGAAAGGACTATCGTGGGTGTATTGGCACAACTTACAGAGCAGGTCAAGGTAAACTCAATTGGTTGCGCTCCTGGTGGTCTCAGAAGTTGCCTGTGGCACTGGGAAGCTGGGCTAAAACTTAACTCTCACCATCACTGTCTTCAGGGAGCGCTGTCCAGAGATCTTCTGTCGGGCCCAATTCTGGGGTACTTATCTTATTCACATTGGCTACATGGTCAGCCCCTTCTTTGCTGGCTGTCACCTGCTTGTGTAAGTGGTGAGTCTCCATGAGGCCACATGCATGGGGGTCGTTCTCGTCAGTGCCATTTGGTGCCGTTCCAGTAGTGCCTGACACGTGCCTTCCCAATTGTACTGCACACTGGGCTGCAATGACTCTTTTGCCCAGTCACCATGGCCTGGTTTCCTGAAGGAACATGTGTCCACCTTATTGCTTCTGCAGCTTCATTACCTTCCCAGAGTGTTCCCTTTCCTCGTGAGACAGGTGATGAAGATGTTCGACAAGCTTCTTCAGAGCCACACACACCATTGCAGTCGGTCATGGGCAGCTGCACACAGGAGGCTTAGAGCTCCAGGTCTAACGGTGGCTCATGGCTGCTTCTGAATCTAACTGGCATTCTGGTGCATTGCAAGAGTGACATTGTCATGGTGGGTGGCTGAGGAGAGATGGCAGGGACTGCATCGCACTGGAGGCACCATGGGGCCTTGGGGTGACCTCACAGATTTGGGTGACTGTGTCGTGTGAGGAGTGGTGGAAGGCTGGCTTTGAGCAGCTGGTTGGCAGGGGTGAGGGGTGTGCGGGGAGGTAAGTTCCATCCAAACACTGTCAAAGCAAGAAATGGTGGCAGTTCTGCAAAGACTGTCTCAAATCATTGAGATTTGGATCCTTGGCTCTGTGTGAGGTGCAGAGGACCCGTGAAATGTAAGCCCCAATGCTATAAGGTCAAGGTTTGGACTCCCTGTGGACAATCTGGTCTAGAGTTTGTAGGACTGTCCTTGTTGGTCTTTTTAGGTTGGCAGTGGGAAAGAACTCACCTTAACAACAGCAAAGTCTCTAAAAACCTCTTCTTTTCTTGAGGACATGGCTTATGACAACTCACTTCTTGACAGTGTTTTATCTGTAAGGTAAGTTCATTTGACCGAGTTTGTTGTACCACTGTTCAGAAGCCGTGCCCGTATGTGGGGACATAGTGTGTAGAACTGTGGAAAGATCCAAAGGAAGCCAGGGCCTGGTTGGGACTGTACTCTCCTCAGATCTTCCATGTGGATGGAAATTGTCGGCAGGGCGGAGAAGTAGGAATACGGAGGTGCACAAAGTCCAGAAGCTGCCACCCCTCTGGGGTTGACAGCCTTAGTGTGAAATGTGTTGGAGTTTGGGCATTTCTCTCTGAGAAGTTGTCTGCTTTGGTGTTGACCAAACAAGAGGTTTCGCTTTCTGTAGCTTTGTTCCATTTATCTTCCTAGTCTCCTGTCTCTACTTCGTCTCCTTAGATGATGACGTGGACCTTCAAGATGGCCAGCACGCCAGTAGCCCACCAAGTCAGCTGAGTCTGATGCTCCCATAGATCCAGCGGCTCCTATCACTAAGGGATGCACAGGGCAGCAAGGCTCCATCTGAGCCCCCCCAACCACCAGCTGCCGAGTGTTCTTTCCCAGTTTTCTTGGTACTGTAGTGTGGTGTGTGTGTGTTCCTGAAATAAAGCGGTGGGTGGTATGACTAGTGGGAATGGGCCTTGGATCTGAATTTGGATCTCTTTCTCCTGTCAGTGATGGAGTCACTCCCTGCGTTACCCTGGGCCAACAGGGAGTTTCTTTCTTGCAGCCCAAGAGATGGGTGGTTAAGTGCTTGACTTCTGGGCGCTCCTGTCCTGTGTTTCTCCCACCTGGCTGGGAGCGAATCTAGTAAATATTTCTGTAATTTTATATTCACCTAATTATGAGAAACCCTGGTGAAGGCCTGATACGATCAAAGTGTCCAGTCTATAAAAGGACATGAGCTAGTCTTTCATTTAGGTTTGTGCTATAATTACCTTGTTATGAATAAGCTGTTGTATTTGAGTTGATCCTGTTTGCCTTTGCTAAAATGTGACTGTCTTTTCCTTTGGTCTGGTTCAAACAGTAAGTTGTAGCCAGAAACCTGACTAGGGTCTGTGCTTTGCTCACCATGCTGGTAACTCTAAACCCTGTCTCTGAGCAGGTTGCCTCCTTTCTCCCCCTCTTAAATTTGATAGGCTCCAATAAGGTTAATGCGTTAAAAGGGCATGCAAACACAAAGCCGGTGCAATATTAAGGGTATTATTCTCAGGTTACCACCACCCTTTTTTATTTACAGCCAAATTTAATTTCCAGGTGACCGCAAAAGCCATGTAATATAAGCTCTGAGAAAGACTAATTATGAGTAAAACAGGTGGCCAAATGGCTCCACAACTTGGTTGTGGGGCTTAGGCCTCATCCCAGGAGTGGGGGCTATGACTCCTGACGTTCTGAAAACTGGTACAGGCCTGTGGGAAGCTCGCGAGGCCACATTGAGTGGCCAGAAGTGGGGGTGGCTGGAGCGTTCTTTGTTAGGCAGAGCCAAACACTGGAGGTTTAAGGAAGAGGGCAGGTACCCAGTGGCCCATTCAGAAAAAGCCTGAACTCCGCCACCTATGGCATTTGAATGCGCTTCAGCTTCCCCCTCTGATCTTAACTGCTACAAATCTCCAATGTGTCTGACAGATGCGTTTGGCCAAAAGCGCATTTGTGAAGAAAGCAATGAAAAGTGGTCCTCTGCTTTTCTGTTTGCCAGCAGCAGAACCCTGCTTGGCTGCAGCCTGCCAGCACACCAGGTGCTGCAGGTTCGAAATGTTAAGAGGGAAAAAGAAATAACCCCGAATTGAACTTTCAACTGTACACATCCAGGGGAAAATAATTTGCCACTGACAGCCCCAGGCTGCAAATCACTTTCCCAGCAGGAAAGAAAATGAAATCTGGCATTTTATTAAAAAAGTGTCTTTTCTCTCAGGATGGGTTGAGGAGCAAATAAAGAGTAAACGCATGGAAAGAAATGTATTGAATTTGCCTCGTTTGAAAGGAACGCTGGAAACCCTTTTCATGCCCATATGCTGGCCAACTCCGTAATTTCCGCAGTGTGGATGCAGCGGGAGCATGTGGCAATCCGGAGGCTCTCAGCTGGTGAGGAAGGCCCACCTAGGCGTCCTCCTTTTGCAGAACCCCTCAGAGCCATGTTCCTGCCCTAGTGCATCACTGTGGTGTTTGCTGCTTTTATGTGGGGACCTGGGTTGTCCGCCCAACGCTAAGTGAGCCAGGCATGGACTTACACCCAGCTGTCCGGTGTTGGGGTGGGGGTGCTGTCGAGTCCATTCCGACTCTCGGTGACCCTCTGCTCTTCCTCTGTAGGCGTCATTCTTTGTTGTGTACAACATGGTGACAACAGACGTGATTGCGGTCTTTGAGAATACGTCAGATGAGCTTTTGGAGCTCTTCGAGAACTTCTGTGACCTCTTCCGGAATGCAACCCTGCACAGCGAAGTCCAGTTTCCCTGCTCAGCTTCCAGCAACAATTTTGCAAGGCAAATCCAACGCCGGTAAGCTGTGCCACCAGATGTAACAGGCTTGACTTTTCTGTAGGAAAATTGCTAACTGTAGGCTAATGGCCATTCCCTCTGTCCACTTGGACTTGGTTAGGTCTGCCTGTTTCAACTGCGTGAGGCATTCTCGGGGTCTCCTCTCTCCCTCAGCACCTAGGGAGCCACTTGTGTAGTCTCCGTGGGAATCACAGATGGTCTGTATTGAGACTTAGACTTCAACTGTCTGTGTATGAGCTGCAGTATGACCCGGTGTCCACCTTTGTTGTTTACTGCTCTAGCTTCAGCAGTCCACTATCGAGGTCTTGAATATTTATTGAATCAGTAAGAAAATCCTTTTAGACCTTTTGATGAATCATGACTGTATGTTGAAACAAATGCATTTGTCTTTACCTCAACCCCAAACCCTATTAAACTGACAGTAAAGGAAGAAGAAGTACATATCCACAAGAACAAAGGATGGGACAAGAGGTGGATTGGAGATAGAAAACATCAACATAGATTTGGAATCTGAAAAGCCAGCAGATGAGGGCTAGCTGACTTAGTGGACCTCAGACCACAGAAATTTGGGCCTGCACAGCTCTGCCACCAAGAAGCAAGCCTGCTTCTCACCCTGGCATTCAGTCAAGGGGCAGGGTATTAGAGGCCTGGAAGACTCAGCAGACTGGGGTGGAGGAAGTCGGAAATCAGGAGGGTTGGGTGACAATCTTACCACCAGCAATCAGACTCTGGGGATCCCTCCCCTTCACCTACCTGCCAGATGGCAGTCTCCCTCACCCCCAGTGAAGGCTGGACATTGACTTCCGTTCAGGAGGCACAGCTGAGCTGTGAACAGGAGGGACTTCAGTGAAAGCTGACATACTGAAGGCGGAGACTCTTGCCTGCCTTTCCATGTGCCTGACACCCAGGCTTATACTCCCCAGGCAGGAGATAGTAGTTTTTCCCTTTATAGAAGTGGATGAATTGAGAATAAGAGACCTTCTTTTAAATTGGATTTCGTTTGTAAACCCCCTAGGTCACCCTACATTGATACCACCAGCCAACAAAGTCCCTTTATGAATCAAGCCTTCTACAAATCATCTTAGCGCATTATTATGAAATGATTGGTTGAGTCCAGTGCTCATCATGTTTCACCGTCCTACTTTTCTGACCTTAGACAGATGAAGTATTTTCGTCTCCCTCCCAAGATAGACCTGACCAGAGTTGGTGGGCGAGTCTGAATAAGCTTTACTGCCATTGAGGAAAAGATCAAAGCAAACCTCTGAATTATGCAGTGGCTTCATAGAGATGGTGCTAGGTATCAAATAGATGATTTTTGATTTTCAGATAGCTGGACTGACCTTTTCCTTCTTGCTCTGGTTCACACACACCTTCTGTATTATTAACATCTCTGTTCAGTAAAGGAAAATCACTGGAAACAATATGGATCAGATTTTTTTTTCCATTTTGGAATAAATTCTCTTTGAAATTAAGCAGATATTTATCAACAAATAACAGAAAGAATTAAGGGATTAGGTTGAAAACAAACAACAAAAGCTGGGTACTCTCAAGTCACACTCTCACCTCACTAGAGGGTCAGCTCCAGCAGGTCGGGGGTCTGTGTGTTAAATCCATTTACAAGACCTGGCCACTGGCTGGTACCTGGGAGTTGAATGAGTAAAGTTACACAGGAATTAGAGGAAGCTGTGTTTTCTGAACATTATTTCACAATGTGCCTTGACTTAAGAGAAATTACAGGAAGCCCCAAGGAGGGGAAAATACATTTTTTTAGGTTGGTGATCTTCACATTTTGTTCCTTATCACCCAAAGATTTTGAAAAGTTACAGATCTTGAGGATCCCTGGTTGTGTATTGGGTGATGAATTTGGCTGCTAACCATAGCGTCAGCAGTTTGAAATCGCCAGACGCTCTGAGAGAAAAATGAGGCTTTCTACTCCTGTAAAAGATTTACAGCCTAGGAAATCCACAGGGATAGTTAATATTCTATTCATTTGGGTGGCTGTGAGTCAGAATCTACTCAGTGGTGTTGGGTGAGTTTATATATACCTCACTCATTTTTAAAATTAAAAAAAAAATTTTTTTGCCATACGTTTAAAGTGTAGAGGATATAATTTTGCGATAGTTTCCAGCGCATGATAAACATTAGCATTTAAAATTAAAATTGTTAAGCACTCTTTTAAATGAAGCAAAGGAATCTCAGCCCACGTTATTGTTAGATGATGTGAAGTTGGTTCCAGCCCATAGCACCCCCATGCTCAGCAGAAGGAAGCCCCGCCCAGTCCTGCACCATCCTCATCATCGTTCCTCTGTCTGACCCCATTGCTGCAGCCAGTGTATAAGTTCATCTCTTTGAGGGTCTTCCTCTTGTTTGCTGCTTCTCTTCTTTACCAATTATGATGTCCTTTACCAGGGGCTGGTCTCTCCTGGTAACGTGTCCAAAGTACTGGAGATGAAGTCTTGCCAACCTTACCTCTAAGGAGCATTCTAGCTGCGCTTCTTCCGAGACAGATTTAGATTTGTTTGTTCTTTTGACAGTCCCTGGTACTTTCAGTATTCTTTGCCGGCGGCGTCATTGAAATGTGTCGGTATGCTTCGGTCTTCCTTATTCAGGGTCCAGCTTTCCTGTGCTTATTAGGTGACTGAAAATGTCTTGGCTTAGTCTAGGTGCACCTTAGTCCTCAAAGTAACACCCTTGCTTTTCAACACTTTAAAGAGGTCTCGTGTGGCAAATTTACCCAATGCAATGCATCGTTTTACCTTTTGCCTGCTGCTTCGATGAGCACCGATTGCAGATCCAAGTAAGATGAGATCATTAAGAAAAAAAAAGATGAGATTGTTGACAACTTCAATTTTTTCTCCATTTATCATGAGGCTACTTACTGGTCCAGTTGTGAAGATTTGGTTTACTTTCTGTTGAGTTATGGTCCATGTTGAAGGCTGCAATCCTTGATCTTCATCAGCAAGTGCTAAGCAAGGTTGTGTCATCTGCATGTTACAGGTTGTTGATGAGTCTTCCTCCCATGTCAGTATATGTCAGATACTAAGTACCGCAGTTGTTCGGTGATTGAGTGCTGGGCATGTACAATACTGAGCAAACCCTTCCCAGGCTGTTGGAAATTTCATATTGTTTTGAATTTGCTAATTCATATGTCTATAAAGCTGTATCCTAACGTAGTATCTCAGTTATCTAGTGCTGCTGCAACAGACATTCCGTAAGTAGATGGTTTTGACACACAAAATTGTTTTCTCACCGTTTAGGAAGCTAGAAATAGTTCAGGCCGCTGGCTCTAGGGAACGCTTTCTCTCAGCGCTGGAGGAGAGCCCGTGTCTCCCGGCAGTCTCCGTGGAATCTCTCGACTCTGTCTGCTTGCTGGTGTAATCTCACGTATGAGAGGTTGGCTTAAGACATGGCCGACACTAATCTTTTTCTCATTAACGTAACAGAAAACCCATTCCCCAATGCGATTATTACTATGGGAGGGGGGGGGGAATCCACTGCCATGGCTACCTTGTAGGCCAGAGCTGAATCCACATATCATAGAGTGTAATTGTTCACTCATCCTAAGATCTGTACAGTCATCACCACAATCAGTTTCAGAGCATTTTCCTCTCATACTCGTTTCCCCATTTCCCCCTCAGTAATTACTTTTCAATTTTCGTAAACCTTCATTCTAAGCCCCCATGGTCGTTTTGTATACTTCAAGTAAATCAGCCTATGGAATCCTCAAAAAGCAATTTCTCTAACCTTCTTAGCTGACTTCTCAGTGTTGGATTCTCCTTGAAGCCTTCCCGGTTTTCCATAAAAGCTGCCTTTTCCATCTAAAAGCTGTGGTTCCTGTTGCAAAGCTTCATGTATTTCGGAAGATGCCCGTTTGAGTTTTGTTAAAATTTTAATATTAGTCCTGACCTTAAAAAAAAGAACCCAAAACCAAAAACATATTTTTCATGACACAAAAAAAGCATCCTTTGGGGGGAAGGTTCCCTAATGTGACTAGCACCGAGAGAACTTGTCTACTGCCATCACCTGGTTGCAGTGACATGCTTAAATATCTTGTTTGGAATAAACCTGTGCACACAGGAGCTGAAAACCAAGTAGCCATACTTACTGACTTACCCTCATATTGTTTATTTCTTGTGAACACATAATTCTAAGTATTAAATTTTATACTCTCTTAGTAAGAGTAAGATCTTCTGCTAAAAGTAAATAAAAATGGATATTTTTAAGGGTCAGAATACATGTTTAAGGGGGGGAAAACAGTGGAAACCAAGGGTTACAAATCATTTAAGGAAAACCTTTATCATAAGAAATAGCGAACAAACAAAACCAACAGAATAAAGAATAAGGGGAAAATATTACCATCACTAAAACTACAAAACCAGGGACATTCCTAGCAAACTAGATGCTTTGGGAAATTTAAAACAGCAGATATTTTTGAGGAACTCTCTAAGAACGAGAATAAGGAGAAGGAATATGGAGTGAAATAATTATCAGCGGTTCTCCTTTTGGGGGTTACCGACCCTTTCACAGGGGTCGCCTGATTCATCACAGTCGCAAAATGACAGTTATGAAGTACCAACGAAAATAATTTTATGGTTGGGGGTCACCACCACATGAGGAACTGTATTAAAGGGTCACGACATTAGGAAGGTTGAGAACCACTGAATTAGATCAACCCAGGAGATCCAGTATCTGCCTAATTATATAGCAGGAGCAATGGAGAGGCAAGTGTGGGGGAAACAAGCCCCCACCACTAATCACGGGTCCTGTAGGCGCAATTGTAGGGTTATGACATATAAAGGTTATGGTAAAGTCATAGAGTGTAGGAGAGATAGAAGAGAGAGTAACGTAAAGAAGTCAGACACATTTCATGGTAGCATGCTCATCTCAGCTCCTCTTGGTGGTGCACGTGGAGATGGGAGAAGAGCAGGCAGGAGAGAGAGCATGAGGTTTTATTTCTAACCAAAGCTTATATATCTTTGGTGGCATGTAAGCCTCCTGAT